AAACATTCTCAATCTCAACCTATCTTTTGTCCATATGTTTAGATTTACGTATTCATCTGAAAAAATATATATGGTTTACACACACACACACACATACACACATCCCTATACATACACAAATCCAGAAATGTGAGGTTTCTGTTCAAATTCATTTAAAATTTCATACTTACTTTGGCACTCTATAAATTCATCAGTGTTAGTCAATTCTCTGATGAAATCCTTAAATTTCACCATTTCACCTTTAAAAAAAGAAAAAAGCTTAGATATTCTTGTAATAAAGATATTTTGAAGATTCAAAACCTGAATATTAAAATAAAATGGAAGAATGGCAATCACTTTGTGGAACATATGATATGTAAATTACATCCCAAATAAAAGCTACCAGATATGTTACTTTGGAAATTGATTGCTTTAATACAAACTTATCCATTTTAAAATAATAAAAATACTTTTGATTTTTAAAAGATATATGGGTATATTTCCTTGGGCATATGATGAAGTTTCTGAAACTCAAATTGTGGCCTAAAGTGAAAGAATTACTCACCAGTAGGGTTAATATTATCCAAAGTTTTCTTTATTTTATCATCTGGTAGATAGATTCCTATGGCATTTAAATTGTGCTGAAGATCAGAAATGGCTGTAAATCCATTTCTGTATGTATTGATGTCGTGAGATTGATCTTTATCTCCTGAGAAGACATAATCACCTTCTGTTAAAGAGGAGTTTTCGTGTCTTTCCTTTATATTTTAAAGGTAAGTGGGAAAATTCCCTAGCATACAAATAATACAAGAGAGAAAAGGGAATATTTGCATTTATTTACTCTTCCTAAAATAATTTCACAAACAGCATAAAGTAAGACAGAAAGTTGGGAGAAATGATCATAAGTACAAGAAAATTAATAGACAAAGTCCCTTCCATAAGGTCACATACATAAAACCTGCAACAATACCAGGTACATACACACCTAAAGAGATACTTCAAAATAATAAAGCAAAAGCTGGAGAACTAAAGGAAGCACTTGGTGAATCCACAATCAGAATTGGAGATTTGAACTCTTTGCATTCAATAACTAAGAGAATAAGTAAATAGCAGTAAGAATTGAAAGATTCACCAAAGCTATGGAAACAACCTAAGGTCCCATGGACAGATGAGTGGATAATGAGTAGGTAGTATATACAAAATGGAATACTAACTAGCTAGACTAAGAGAAGAAATCTTGCTTTTTTGCCACAAGATGGGTGGAACTGGAGGGTATTTTTGATAAATAAGTCAGGAGAAAGAAGCATAATGGTTTCACTCATGTGTGGAATTAAAAGGGAACAAAAAAGGAACTGCCAAATGTTTTTTTAAAAAAATCTAATCTGCTAACCTCAGAGAAAAACAGATCATCTATCAATTGTAAATTTCTAGCTGAAACAAAGTAAATCTACTCGCAATTTTGAGTTTGGGGTAAGCTTAGCACTTTACCTCGTAATTCAAACAAAAGGTATATAATCTAGTCTTGTTCTGCTTACCTTCATACTGTTTCTTAGTTATCTGTGCTTTAACTTTTTAATACTATATTGTTTTAGCATGAAAACCACTGCTTGTCATTCCATATGTGGGCAGAAAATATATTGTAAATAAAACTCACCTGTGGTATTAGGAATCAATGTGTTGGCAAAGTTAATCATAAATTCTTTAAGGGTAATCTTGCCACTCTCTGTAATGCAAAGCAAAATTTAGCTGAAGCAACCAGTGTTTCTAAATTAATATAGTTGAAGCTGATAGTTAAGTTATAACAAAGTTAAGAAGCTTAGGAATCAGCTATTTCTTCTTTCTTATGTTCTGTACATACGGGGGTCATTTTCTGTTCATTTCCAAATACTTTTCTAATTTATCACTGTGTTAACTAATGTCTTTGCTCTTACCACAGCATCTTTAAAAATCAATTATCATCATATCACTTCCCTCCATTAATTCTCCACATATGTTAAGGGAAGTGTTTCTCTTTAAAAAAACAAACAAATAACTCCCAATAAGACAGAGAAGATAAACACTGTAAGTTCTCATATATGGAAAGTCTAAAAGCATAAAAATTTTTAAAGGCAAGATCATAGAAACAGAGAGCAGACTAGTGGGTACTGAAAGGTGAGGGGAGAGAAATGGGTGTATTAGTTTTATTTTCTTTTAGCTTAAATAAATTGAAAAAGTAAAAACACTATTTTTTTATTTGAAATTTTTGTTACTTCCCTAAACAAACCAATTAGTAGCTCCCAATCAATCAAAGACTGCCCACAAAAAGAAAACATATTGAGGGTGGGAGAAAGAGATTATAGACCAATTTTTCTTACACATGTAGTAAAGTCTAGGTAAAATACTAGCAAACAGACTTCAGCAACAACAACAAAAAGTTCTGGATACTTTTAAGACATGAATTCTCTTTGAAGGAAATTGGTTCATAGAGGGGGAAAGTAAACTTGGCTATTACAATGGCTTGTGACCACATACCAACACATATATAGTATATTTGGTATTAAAGTTCATGAGTTGGGAAGGTGATAACCAAAATGCTTAAAAAGTTTCCTGAAGGGAATGATACATTTTTTTAAAGAGCTAAGAAACACTGCTTTACTCTTTTTGATATGCCCCATTCTCACAGGTGTGAAGTGGTATCCAGAGTCACTTGTATATGGAATATAGAGAAAAAAGACAAAGGGTCAGATAAGATATTCACCAAAAGGTGAGATTTATTCCAGTAAATGTTCTCTTCTGCAGACAGAAGAGGGCACTCTTTAACTGTCTAAGTCACCCAATACCTTCAACTCTTCCAACAAATTAGAACAAAAAGACAAAGGAAGATTTGAAAGGAAAAGTTGACACAAATTAGAAAAGAGAAACACAAAGTCACCTCAAAAAATACACAGGTAAAGACAGGCAAAGTAGAAAGGATATGACTATACCTGTGTCAAGTCAATAAGAGTGTATTAATCAAAGTTCTAAGAGACTAGGTCTTAAGTGTTCTCACCACAAAAATAGAGGTCGCTCATCCATCTGGCAGCAATGTCTATTAATCTACCTAATGTCCCTGATATCAATGATGTTAAGGCCACTAGCAAACCGGACCAAAATCAACAAGTGTTGGTCATTTTCCATGCTGATTCTTTCTTCTTGCTGTTGATTTAACTATGCTTTTCTGTCTGTACATTTCTCTTGTGCCCAGTCAATAATATGGAAATAATTATATAAACACCTGGAAATGGTTTATCCAAAAGATCCAATGAGTAGAAGTGTTAACTGCTGCCTCCATTTGTCATCACATAATGACTCCAACAGCTGTGTCACCATCTAACAAATTGTTACCTTCATAAGTTTGAAAATCAGTAACACCTGAGAGCCTACAAGTTCCTTTTCACTACTTCCACTTGTTATATACCATGATAGCTGTTTCTACAATAACCTCTATGGAATACCTGTTCAAATGCCACTGAGCTGTATGATAATCTTGCAGCTCAGAGGCATAGCAATATCTGTGACTATTTTTTGCACTGCTTTTGAATTATGTATCTGTTTCAAACTTAAGACCTAGATACCCTGGGAGCTCTACCTGAAGGAAATGGAACCAACCAAAAAAAACTATTGTAATTTAAAAGATACCTAGTGTCTTCTACTGAGAGTTGAAGGTAATATTGCCAGGTGGGACTTTTGTCTGCCTTCAAACACAAAGCAGCCTTAAGTTAAATCTGCTTGCTTTGGAGGGCTCTAAAGTCAACCTCTTCCTACTCAAAATTAGAAACAGAAATCTCCAACCTCACACTTCCCTGTTAAAAGACTAAAGCAAATCCTTACTCCAACTCAGGGATGAAGAATGACTTTCAACACCACACCCACCCTTCTCCTTATGGGGAACTGGGATCACCCGTACAACAGAAGGGGAGAAAGAAGCAAGAGTCAGGAGTGCAACAGGTACATCCCAGCATCCATGCCTCACATAGTGCTGTTCAGATGAACCATGTATCTCAATATTTTAAAGAATAATTCCATTGAGCTGAGCTTTGTTGTTGTTTTAAAGTCCTGTTAAAGGTCACAGCCATTAATATGAAGAATGAAAACGAGGATGTCACTACAAAAGAGGAACACATCAAAAAGAAAAGCAGATATTAAAGACAACTATCAAAAAAATCTCAAGTGTCAGATGAAATGGACAAATTCCTCTAACACACCTTTTCAAAAATGAACAAGTAGTAGAATATTTTCTTTGAAATCACAAGCAATTTAGGAAATTAAGTCAATAATCCACAACATTCCCATAAATAACACTCTTAAGCCTATAGTTTCCCCTGTGAGTTCTACTAAATACTGGAGGAAGTAAACGTCTCTTTTAGAGAATGGAAAAATAAAGAATATCCCAACTCATTTTAAAATGTAGCAAGCTTAACAGTCATTAAAATAATGAAATCAGGCTCTCCCTGGTGGCGCAGCGGGTTAAAGCACTGCACTGAGAAGCTAAAGCCACTTCCACATGAGTTCGATTCCTGCCTGCCCAGAGGTGACCACATGGCGCAGCAGACCTCTCCTGACCCGCCCACTGCTCCCCTCAGCAGTGTACTTCGTTGATCTGCCTGTTCTGCTCCCCACTCTGTCTCTGGTGAAGCCTCTCACCGCCCCTGAGCCTCTGGCCTGTACCCCAGTTCTGTATGTACAAATAAATAAATCTTTAAAAAAAAATAATGAAATCATTTTTACATTTACAAATACCTGCTTCTCTGAGTCAACCCAATGTATCCCTGGATATCAGTATAACGTAATTTCCATTTGGCAACAGCATCTCCCGGAATTCATTCTACTATATGGATGGCATTTACAAAGCAACCTTACCTCGCAGGAACCACCTGGGACCCAAAGCAATAGGACAGGACCTGACTTTCCCCTTTGCTTGGTTCACTTAAGGTGAGCCCATGAGTCATAACCACGTCCCACTCTCACTGACAGAGGATGTATTACAATATGCATTCAAACTACTAACCGTGTTCAGGTGCATGTTTTAACACTTCATTAACTAAAGCATTAGCTGCATGGAGGTCATTGTCCATCAATAATGTCTTGAGGACAGGAATATCAATTATATCATTCTGGAGAGTTTGCGTAATAGATAAGAGTAGCTGTGTAGCTGAAAAAAAGAGCAAAAACACACGTTTCAACATCAGAAATAGAATATGTCATTCACTGTCATTTAAATGTCTTACACTGAATTTAAGAATTTTTGCATGCACTACTGATATAATTTCAAAAAAACATTGTGTATTAAAATTGTTAACCATTATTGAACACTTACTAGGTACTAGATACTGTTTAAATATTTTTCTTTACCCATTTAAGTCTTATAATAATCCCAAAGTAGGCATTATTATGACTATTTTTCAGCAGAAAAATTGAGATTAGTGAGACTAAGTCATTTACTGAAGAATATATAGGTAATAAAATTAGGGCCAGGATTCAAGTTCAGCCACAATTATTTCCAAAGCTCATGCTCTAAACTACTGTGCCTTTCAAGTAATTACAGGTAAGTGATAGCTCTCTGTGCCTTTGGCTATATCACACTTCACATAATAATTGTGAGGCATTATAAATAATATTTACATCAAAACTATAATGCATTATTTAGCTTAAAGTTACTTCACAGAGACAAAATAGG